GATCTTTTGTGCCAACTGCATACTGTTGCCTTCATTGATCTTTTGTGCCCACTGTGTGGTGTTGCTTTGATTGATCTTTTGTGCCAACTGCATACTGTTGCCTTCATTGATCTTTTGTGCCCACTGTGTGGTGTTGCCTTCATTGATCTTTTGTGCCAACTGCATACTGTTGCCTTCATTGATCTTTTGTGCCCACTGTGTGGTGTTGCTTTGATTGGTCTTTTGTGCCAACTGCATACTGTTGCCTTCATTGATCTTTTGTGCCCACTGTGTGGTGTTGCTGATTGGTCTTTTGTGTCCACTGTGTGCTGTTGCTCTGATTGGTCTTTTGTGTCCACTTTGTGCTGTTGCTCTAATTGGTCTTTTGTGTCCACTGTGTGCTGTTGCTCTGATTGGTCTTTTGTGTCCACTGTGTGGTGTTGCTTTGATTGGTCTTTTGTGCCCACTGTGTGCTGTTGCTTTGATTGGTCTTTTGTGCCCACTGTGTGCTGTTGCTTTGATTGGTCTTTTGTGCCCATTGTGTGCTATTGCTCGCATTGATCTTTTGTGCCTATTGCACGAAGTTTTCTCCATTTTTGATTTTTGTGACAATCATGCATCAATGTTTGCAACACGCTTTGAATTATTGCAAGCAATGTCAGAAACACTGCTCATTGTTGTTTTTGAAATGTTGGAGCTGCTTTATGAAGTGCTAAACACATTTATATGGACAGTCAGTATCCAACTGTGTGTCTTAAATGGAAGATCTGCTTGTAAAATGCATAATTCTGAGTAAATGCAAGGTCTGTGTTGGTGGTATTATAGTTATTTTTATTGAATATTGTGTGAACTTTCTTTTGTTCAATATTTAATTTACAATTGATTTCTCCAGTAAATCAATGAATATCCAATACAAAAAGAATTGTACTTTCTATATGAATTTCTGCATTAGTACTGTGTCCTGTTTAATAAAATTTAAATTTGAAAAAATGAAGAGAAAGTTATTTTTCATTCATGTTTTTTGTATCTTATAAAGCCACAAAGCTACTGGTAAGCAATTAGATCAAATTAAAAACTATCTTTCCAAAATGCACATACCTCTTTTTTTTGTCCATCCTGGTATGAATTTTAATGTGTTTACTCCAGTTTTAGATCTCACTATATTGCCCCTAACAATTTTAATCTTGTGGCTCTCTCCACCTACGTCAATGCACCCTCTATACCCGATCCGTATATAAGCTCTTTTTTTATTCTCTCGAAGACAGTCTTACGTGTTTACTGCAGGTTTCTCCTTCACACTATTACTACATTTGCAATGTTTTCTTTTGAATTAGTTTAGACCTTTTTCATTGGGCTTGAGTTTATTGTTTCTTGTCTTGATTTTATGATAAAAACTTTTTTTGGAGATGTTTTTCAAATAGGAATACTGAAGTTCATGTCTCAGACACAGAGTCACTGGATGCCCCTCTCTACCACATCACAAGTCTAATGTTACCTGGACATTGGTGGTGGTGGTGAGGGGACCTTCTGCGGAGGACATACAGTTTCTTATATACAGAGAGGTAGAGTCTTACATGAGATGTAATGCTTTTTTTTGTTCATATTGTTCAGGTTGATATGTGGGCCACACCTAACACCTTTATATACCACTATTTACATGATTTAGTAGTCTCCTCTTTAAATGGGTTTTTGCACACACACACACACCCCGTGGCTATTCTACTCGTGCCCCAACTCTATTGTGACAGAGACAAGTCACTGCACTTCTTTTATGCTATTCTATTCCTTTTCAGGTGTTGGATGGTCAGGTATGCTTTTACAAATTTGCATTAGCTATCTGTAGACTAATAACTAAATTCCTGCTAACAACAAGCTCTGTTGAGATGGTATGTTCCATAAGACTGTGTTAACACTTTCCGGGTGGTGAACAATTGTTCTGTATCAAATGTAATATACAATACTGGACTGCCACTCATGGACTATCATGAGTAAAGCATAAAGGGATTTGAATTGAACAAATCAGGGTTGGTTTTGTTTGCTTTTCAAAATAGGGAACATGGTTTACCTAATACAATGTCTTCGGAGTTTGGTTTGTTGCATTCTGTGCTTGTCTAGTTTGGTATTGCTTGCCTTCCCTTCGTAATCCTGGTGGCTCACGTGCAACATTCTGTAATTTTTAGGTTGGGTGGCTGGGCCCATAATTCCATGTTTGGTTTGTTGCATTTTGTGCTTCTTCAGGCTGGAGTGAAGGTTTGTTCACTTAGGTGTTGTTTGCCTTTTCTTCATAATTCTGATGGCTTGACATGCAACATTCTGTAACTTTCAGGTTGGGTTTCCTTCATATCATATTCCTATTATCCAATTATTTTATATTGCAGTCCCCTATGCTCTAACCACTACATGTTGGATCTAGCTTTGTGTCCACAGTCCTCTAATATTAATGACGAGACACGGAACCTCGTCTAAGTGGTTGGGGCCTTGTGATAATCAACAATGTTGACTCTGTAACCAGTTGGCCTTTACCACCTACATTTAGATTTCACTTTATCTGGACAAAGAGCATACCTGTTCCAGAAGTAGTGCAGATCCCTACTAGTGTGCTTTATTATAACTCAGTTTTGCACACCAGTCTTTTCAACCCAGATACTTTCTGTGTGGATTTTGTCCTCACTGGCCCATCCACCTGGTCAATGTGGTATTCTAGCTAAAGTGGGAATGGAGGTGTGTTTCAGAAGTTTACATTTTCCAATACTAAAATATGTTTCTGATAATACATACTTACTCTCGCACTATCCCTCGCTTCCTCCCCACAATAGCCAGTGTTCAGGTCTGATAATTATGCCAGTCTCGAACAAGTGAATAAGAAAGAATATCGGGTAGCTTATATACGGATCAGGTATAGAGGGCATGTTGAAATAGGTGGAGAGAGTCACAAGATTAAGATTGTTAGTAATAATGTAGTGGGGTGTGAAGACTGGAGCAAGTGAGGTAGAATTCATGCCAGTGCTTAGATGGGCAAAGAAGATAACCTTTCGTCAGGATAAAGCTACAGTGTGTGAGAAGAGGTAAGTATTATCGAAAAAATACATTTTCGGTATAGAAAAATGACAACTTTTCTATATGCATTTTCAGTGCTAAATTCATTTATCTGACCAGATTGAATTCCATGTAGAAATGCTTGGGAAGTCCTCTGGAATACTATAGATGCCAGAGAGCAGAAACTGAAAGCAGCAAGTGAACTGCATCGCTTTAATCATGATGTCGCTGATGCCTTGTCTCGTATTCAAGAAAAATATGAGAGTATTCCAAAGGATGTTGGTCGGGATCTGAAAGCTGTGCAGAATTCAAAGAAGAAACATGAGGGATTTGAAAATGATGTTGCCGCTCTTGAAGGACAAGTAAGCTTGAAAAACAAAAAAGTGGATAGGCTATCTGTGACTTATGTTTCTATTTACCTATCTTTACACACTTGAGTAACTGTATGCTTAAACGTTTCTAAAAGAAAAAAAATCTAATTTTGTAAAACAATTTCTATTACGAAACTACATATGATTAGGTAGAAATGGTAATTTTTTAAAAAGGTATATATATTATATTACTTTTATAGAGAAAACAAATATAATTAAAAACAGACTCTTGGTTTTTTCATCATCTTTGATCTTCACAGGAAGAGGTAAAACAATCTATTCAATCATTTCTACAAGATTATTGTTTTAATTTGGAAAGCTTGGTTACATCTTATCCATACAGTATTAGGTCTGTATCACTAATTTTTTTTGTTTATCTTTCAACAAGATTCAAGTTCTTCTGAATGACAGTGCTCACTTGCAAGCCAAGTACCCTGGTGGTAATGCTGAACACATTATTCAACAGCAAGATGTTTTATTGGATAACTGGGATGCTCTTAAAGAAAGGATGATGGACCACTCTCACTTCATAGAAAATGCATTTCTCCTTCAAAAATTTTTAGCAACAGTAAGCTACTTTAATGAAACTCATTCTGTTACAATGTACATATGTTACATATGTTTTTAAGGTGACTCTTTCTTAAGCATTATTACAAACCAAATAAAGTGACAAAAGAGAAAAAACAATAATACAATGTTTTAGAGTCATAAGATATTTTTTAGGTTTTTGGATATATTTCTTATCAATATATATATATCTAGAAATCATTTCTTTGTCTACTTTTTAGTGCTCTTGAAATTAAATGTTTGTGTGGGAAAACCATTTCCTAAACCATGACATCATACCATGTCATTATTTTTGCAATATTAGTTTACACCCTGTTTTTTTTCTTAAGGCAAGAGACCTAGAGACTTGGGCACAGGGACTTTGTGCAGCTTTTCAGGCTGAGGTAAAAGTTAGTAATGCAGCAGGAGCTCAGCTTCTTACCTCAGAACACGAGCAGCTGTGTGCTGAGATTGAAGCTCGTGATCAAACTTTCTGTAACGTCATAGAAGATGGACATCAGTTGATAAAACAGAAACACTATGCTAGTGATGAGGTTGGTAGAATGATTTTTACACCATAAGAATATATCAGATGATAGTTTAAGTTAATAATTTGAATAATTTACTGGCTTAATTTTAGAACCTAACTTTAAAGTTACACTGTTGTTTTACTGTGCTGAGTGTAATGAAAGTTTTTAAAATAAACAGAAAGTATGAGTTGTCAAATAGAACTCAGTTTTTCAGAAGAAAATTCCACAACAATAATGATACTTGTTGTGTTTAGAGAGAACTTAAAAATAATCTGAGTTTCAGAAACAGAGAATAAAAGCAAGATTCAAACATATTTTGAAGTTATGGGTCAGTACATGAAATAAGCATGCTAATTTCAAACTTGCTTATTTTGTAATGTGGGAATAAATTATTAACTTCTTTTTGTAAAAAACATTTTGAGTTTTTGAATTCTTTGTAAAAGATTTTTTTATGTTGATGTTTCAGATTCAAGAAAAGTTGCACCAGTTAAAAGAAATAAGAGAACAACTTATCACTGCTTATGAGAAGAAAAAAATCTATTTATATCAACTTCTTGACCTATATATTCTACTCAGAGATGCAGAACAACTAGACACCCTTAGTGGACAGCAAGAGGTGACATTTTATTTTTTTTATCATATCAACAGTAATTTATTATACGTTACAGATACAAACTAATGGCATTTCTTGAAATACAATACTTTCCTTATCAGAATAACAGCAAGTAAAAATCTTCTCAGGATACATTTGATAACCAGGGAGTGTTTTATTTTAGTTTAATCATCAATTAATAGTTAAGATATACTCAGTAAGAAGATTAAATTAAGTACTTAATTCTAAAGCTTAGATTGTTTCTGAATTGTTACACAGATTTTTATTCATAGTAACTCACTTTTATGAGATGCTGTTTTAAAGTTTAAAGAGTTAAATCATCTGTAATTGAAGGACTTATCTAATGAATTAATGTCATTTGTTAGCCTTTCTACTAGAGATGGTTGTGTTAAAGTTTAGAAACTATTAATGAGCCATTAGATTTAATGCAAGTATTGATGCGTAATTGTTCTGGAACTGTTAATTATTGTTTAGCGCTTTTCTGTAAGTATTTCATACGAGAGTTTAATTTGAATATTGGACAAAAATATTTTAAATTCAAAATAAATTTTCAAAATTATCACTTTGAAAAAAAGTATTTAAATCAAATCAATTAGTATTTTATGCTTTATTTGAAAGAAGCCTGTATTAACATGCAATATCTTTTCTTACAGGCTTATTTGGCAGGAACTGATTTTGGAACAACTGTAGAAGAAGTGAATTGTCAAGTGAAGAAACATGATGCCTTTGAGAAGGTTTTAATAGCCCAGGATGAAAAAGTAATAGGATTTTAAAAAATCATATTCTTTACCCAACTGAATGTCAAATTTTGATTTCTCTGACCTTAGCTTTACTCCACAGTTTCTGCACCCATCAGACTACTCCACTAGTAATTAAGAATTGGTCCTTTAGATGTAATTTTGGTTCACTGATTATCAAGTGTGAATTTTTCTGATCAGTGATGTTCACTGAACGTG